AAACTGAAGGTCTACAGAGCTATTGTGCTGACCTCATCATTGTATGCCTGTGAAACCTGGACAGTATACCAGCATCATGCCAGGAAACTGAATAGCTTCCATAGGAATTGTCTTAGGAAGATTCTGAAAATCACCAGGCAGGCTAAGGTACCAGGCACTGAGGTACTTTCTCAAGCTGAGCTGCCAAGTGTTCAAACAATACTGCAGAGAGTGCAACCCTAAAGGGCCTGGCCATGTCGTTTGAATGCCAAACTTTCTTTGCCTAAAAGACTTTTACAGAGAACTCGCATGAGGCAAGTGCTCACATGAAGGTCAGAAGAGTCAATACAAGGACACTCTCAAGGTCTGTCTGAAGAACTTTGGAATCCATTGTGAGACGTAGAAGACACTGGAACAGGACTGCCCAGCATGGCCCCCATCAAAGAAGGTGATTTGCTCTATGAGCAAAGCAGAATTGCAGTAGCTCAAAAGAAACACAAAAGAAACATCAAGAGATGTGCAAATTTAGAGACATCTCCACTCCCAGCATTCCTGTGGACTCTTTGTGCCCGACCTGTGGTAGAGCCTTCCAAGTTCATACTGGTCTGATCAGCCACAGTCAGACACAAAGTGATGTCATCTTGGTCTTCTTTGAACACAAAGAACAACAACACACCAACCAATTTGATATGGATTGTACATGTGTAGTCATGCAAAATATATTTCCATATTAATCATGTTGTAAAAGAAAACAGACCAAAAAAAAAAGAAAAAAAGTAAAAGTGTAAAAAAAGTATGCTTTGATCTTTCTTCTGACTCCATCAGTTTTTTCTCTGGAGGTGGATAGCATTTTTCATTATAAGTCCTTTGGAATTGTCTTGGATCATTATATTACTGAGAATAGTAAAGTCATTCATAGTTAATCATTGTATCATATTTCTGTTACTATGTACACTGTTCTCCTGTGGTTAGAACTGTACTTTAAGAGTATCCCTTTGGCACCTCTGTGGATAATGCATTGGAAAAGGGAGGGACTGGAGGTGGACAGGCTAATCAGAAAATGATTACAGTAGTCCAGGTGAGAGCTAATGAGGACCTGAGGTAGGGGAGGTGGCTGGTAAGTGGAAAGGAGACTTATTTGAGACATAATGAGGAGATAGATTTGACAAGATTTGACAGTGAATTGGATAGGGAGAGAGGAGAAGGAGAAGGAATGATCCAGAATGACTCCAGGGTTTCCAAGCCAGGTGGTTGGAAGGATAGTTGTGGTTCCAACAGAAGCAGGGAAATTAGGAAGAAGTTTGAGGGGGAAGAAAACAATCGAGAAAACTTACAGACCATTTAATCCAATATCTTTTTTTCCAGATACGAAAACTGAGGCTGATAGAAAGGGGACCAGACTGTTGTAGTACAAAGAGCCCTGGTAGAAGAAGATCTGAGCTCAAATCCTAGCTCTTCTACTTGATGTCAACTTGGGTGAGTTTCCTCACCCCTGAAATGAGGATAACAAGACTTGCAGTACCTATCTCACAGGCTTGTGATCAAAAGCCATTTTGCACATTTTAAAAGCATCCTATGTCAGTGTGAGGTATCACTATTAGTGTCCAAAGTCATATACAAGTCTAGGATGGAGCCAAGACTAAAAGAAGTAAGATTTCCTAATTCCCAGTTCATGGTTCTTTTCAATGTACCACACCAAAGCTGCTGCTAAGGCACCAATCCAGTTCAAGCCAAAGTATTCATTGAACACCTACTATGTGATAGGCACTGCGAATATAAAAACAAAGTGACAAACAATCCTTGCCCTCAGGTTGCTTTCATTCTATAAGGAAACACAACATATAAAAAATAATCATATTTAAAAACACTGACAGCTTAAGGAACTAGGAAAGGCTTCCTGTTGAGTTTGGCACCAGCTGCACCTTCAAGGATGCCAGGGATTCTAATAATAGTTGGCAGTGAGGAAGGCAGGCATTCCAGGAATGAGGGACAGCTTGTACAAAAGAATAAAGTAGAGGGTAGAAGAGAACACCAAGTCTGGGGAACAGCAAGTAACCCAGTCTGGCTGCAATTCAGAGTGTAAAGGGGAGTGATGTGAAATACATCTAGAAAGGTGTAAGCTGGAGCCAGACTATCAAGGACTTTAAATGCCAACTGAGGGGCTTCTAGAGGTAATAGGGAGCCATTGCAGGTTATTGAACAGGAAAATGATATGGTTCCACTTGTGCTCTAGGAAGATTATTTTGTGTCTACACAAAGGATATATTGTAGAGAGGCGACACTGGAGGCAGGAATGCAGTCAGCAAGTTGTTGCAGTAGTAAAGGGAGAAGTTAGGATATCCTGAACTAGGGTGGTGCCTTTATGAATAGAATTTGAGTGTGAGAAGGATGGCAGTGATGACCACAGATATGCTTGGAGTATATTCAGGCCCAGACGGAGGAAGCACAGAGCCTGAATACCAGGCCCATTGTCTGTGCAGCTTATGGTGATGATGATGATGATGATAAAAATGACATCAATCCATCAACACGTGTTTATTAAATGTCTATAGTGTATAACGCACTTTGTGAGATCCTGGGGAAGATCCAAAGCTTAATAGACTCAGTCCTTGCCCTCAACAAGTTTAATCCAAGTAGGGTGATAAAAAACAGATAACCATAATACACAATAATACATGATCAATGTATTAGATAGTGATAGGGACAGGACTTGTGATTTTATGGATGTAGGGTTACCAAATAAAGTGCTAAATAATAAAGATCTGTGGAAGAAGATTGCTACTGAGTCTATCAAAGAAAACTTCCTGGAGGAGGTGTTGTCTGAACTTTAAAGAATGGAAGGTTATTCTATGGAGGCATGAGAAACAGACATAGAACACCATTCAGTTCAGTTTCGTTAGAGTAAGGAGTGAGTAGACAAGACTTATGGGAGCCATGTCTGTCTGGAGGCTGCTAGATGCAGTTAGTGAATAGAATGCTAGACTTGGAGTAAGGAGGCCTGGAGTTCAAATCCTGCCTGGGTCTACATAGGATTCTTTAAAGCCACTTTATTTCTCTGGGCCCCAGTTTCCTTATCTGTAAACTGGGGAGAATAGTAGCACCTACCTCACAGAGTTGTTATGAGGATCAAGTGAGATAATATAAGGACAGTTTAGCAATTATGATTAACAATACTATTATAAATTATAGATATTATATAATTATTATATAATTATATAACATATTATAATATTATTATTATTGTTATAAAGGTAGACTGGAGGGTTTTGAATATGAGGCCAAAAAGACCCCAAACTTTGAATTTTCCTTGGTAGGCACTGAAGACTATTTAGTAGAAAAATGACATAACCAGATCCATGCATAAGATCTTCTTCTATCATGGGGGTGGGAAGAAGAGAATAGAAGCAGGATGTCCCGTTAGAACAATAGATTTGGAAGAGAATTTTAAACTCATTGAATCCAAGCTCCTCATTTTCCAGCTGAGAACAAGAGAGCTCAAGTGATTTGCCCAAAGGTACACAACTACTAGCAAGTATCTGAGGTGGGATTTAAACCTAAGACTCCCCTGACTCCCTCCTCCAGCAGTCAGCCGCCTGTACTATGATGCCTCACGAAACTATTGCAATAACCCAGGCTGGTGGTAGACAGGGCCCATCTATCCAGAGCCCATGGGGATTCGAGGGGCAGAAATGAGGAAAGAGAAGAATTAACAGGACCTGGTGAATGTGTGAGAGGTGAGCAAGAGGGAAGAATCAAAGGAAACTCCAAGGTTATAAATATGGGAGGTCAGGAGTGAAGGAAGAATAGATTTGGGGGAAAGATAAAGTTTGGTTTTGAACTTTTGCAGTTTGAAGTACTGGTGGGACATCAAAGTCGGTATGCCCTTATCTTTGGTGGAGATGCTGGCCTGGAGCTCAGAAGAACCACCATGAGAAAGAGAGGACAATTAGTCCCCTGGACATCGCTATCCCACCTGAGCACTTCAGACCTTTTGGTGGAGAAGGACTTCAGGAATAAAAAGGTCAGACTAACACTTGCTAACCCTCTCTTCCCTTCCCCGCTCCTCCAGCCTCCCTTACCTGCCACTTTCTCCATGGCCCCACTCTTTCCTAGACCTTCCAGCTAATGTGACTCCTCAGAATGGTGGGGGATCCCCTGTCTACTTCAAGGGCAAGCCCCATTCCCTGCCCCCCTTCCACCTCATTACGGGAGGAAGGAGAATCTGGGAGCCCTGGAGTTGCCAAATTCCACTCTCTCATTTCCTGCCTTTTTAGTCTTTAACCAGGAGATGGCGCGGAGCGGGGCTGAGTAAGAGGGGTTCTGGGGAATCCTGGCAAAGTTTGCTCGACGATCCCCGCGTTCCCTCGTCGCGCCCCAGAAGGAAGAGGAGCTGACATTTTCCTTCTCCATGGGATTAGAATAAAGTTGATCTCAGTTTCTCCATCTGTAAGACGACAGGGGTTGAACCAGCTGTACTCTAAGGCTCTCCCTCACACCCTGTTCCCAGTTCTGACATTCTATGGTCCTATGACTCTGAGACTCTGTGCCTGAGAATCCCCCATTCCCACACCCCGCTCCGCACCTCCCCATCAGATCATGTCCTGGGTCCCTGCCAGATGCCGATGTTCAGTCCGGGCCAGATCCAGCGTCTGCAGGCTGGAGTCTGGGGAAGGGGGGGCGGGGAAGGAGGGGTCTGGCGGGACGGCACTGGGAGCCACATCCCCTAGACCAGTTCTGCCACGCCCCAAGGTCAAGGCCTGGGGGCGGGACCTCCTGAGCTCCTTCACCGGCCGGAACACGAGCTCCTCGGAGGCTCAGGTTCTCTGGAACATTTGGGTCCCAAGAAAGGCAGGAGATTCTTTGAGGTCCACAGATTTGGAGGTGGGAGGGGCTGGGAAACCCATTCCCTCTAGACCTGTCTCCCCAGCCCCAGGGCTAGCCCCTCCCCTCCAGACGCTCCTCCCTTGGTCCCGCCCCTGGCTTCCCCCAGCTTCCAGCCGCGGTCCCCCCCTTTCCCCGCGCTCTGGTCAGCCCCCAGCCTGGCTCGGCTCTGCGAGCCCTGGGGGCCGACGCCGCTCTCTGCCTGTTTTGCCATGCTCCCGCCGCCCTCTGCTCTCCTGCTCCTGCTGCTTCTGCTGCTCGGGGTCAGGCCCTCCTGGGGGTCCTATGAGCCCCCGCTTCCAGCAGTGGTCATCGCGATGTTGGCTCGCAACGCCGGATATTCCCTGCCGCACTATCTCGGGGCTCTGGAGCGGCTGGACTACCCCCGGGCCCGCCTTGCCCTCTGGTGAGAGACCCCAGGGTGCCTCCCTTCCCCCAGCTCACAGTGATCCTCCTTTCGCTCTCCCTCATAGCCTGTTTTCCCAGGATATTGCCCATGTTGGGGGACCATCTGTGCCTCATCCCCAGTCGCAGAGATTCCTCAGACTACAAGGCTCCCTGCCATTCCTCACTTCTCACCCCAGCTGGAACTGGTCAGCTGGACCCTGGGTCTGAGCTGAGGGTTGGCCTCTCCACCATCTTCTTGGCCTCTCTTCCCTTTTCTGGGAATTTTCTCCTTCAGCCTCACCCCTTTCCTTTCTCCCTCACTTTCCTGGTTTTCCCTACCTATCCATTTCCCCCTTTCTTTATGTCCACCCCATGCCCACTTCTCTCTCTAAGCCTCTCTTCTTTTCCCTAACAAGCGTCTCCATTCTTTTCTTTCTCATTCCAACTTGATTTGCTCTCTCAGGACGTGTGGTTTGATCTGGTGGAGTTGGGGGTGCGCAGCTAACTGCTTGCTCGGTGCCTGTCCTTTCAGAGCTGGACTTTTAGACTTGTGGAGGAGAAGCAGGAAGATATCCTCAAGCTGCTGGCATCTTTAGCCCTAATAAAACGTTATCCCCTTTCCCTCTGAGGTCCAGACAACTCTGATGGAGAATTTCACCCCTTTTCCACAAGATCTCTTAGAATCTGGACTCTAATCAAATCAGATGCCAGTCCACTATACCTTTGCTTCTCATACACCTTTCCCTTTGGGGGATGGCAGGGGATTCCTGCCCTCATCTCAAAGACCTGGATTAAAGGGAAGAGAATGACAGGATTAAGGGTATCTTGGTTAGATTCATTCAGTTTCTCAGCCTCCCCCATAGGGTTTTTTTTATCCTGGGCCCTGAAGCAGGCTGAGGAGGGTAGTAGAGGACACACCCTGGATCCCAGAGGCCTCCCCCATCTATGGAAACCAGTGAAGCCACAAAACCTGGTAGGGAGAGTTGGTTGGATTGGACACGGTGGAATGACTGATATCCCCCCCTAACCTTCAGCCCTTGGCTGGTGAGGGATGGTGTGGACTGGTGACCAAGTGAGGTCTCCCACAATTCCCACAATTTTGGGCATAGAGGGTTGGTCCCCACCCCTAGCTGAGAATGACACGTTTGCTCTCATGTCTCTGCTCTTTAAAGGGACAGGAACATTTAAAACTGGGAGTTTTGTTTAAATTTGCTCCCATCATCCTCAAAAGAGAGAAGCTAAAGCCTCCCCTAACTCTAATGGCACCTTTGACGTTATATAGTGCTTCTATTGTTAATTGCTCAAAACGACTGTCCTCCTTCACAGTAAGTTTGGGTGAGTTTGTGGCTGGAGGTCGATGGAAGTGGTCATTCTTCCCTACTATAGATCTGGAGACTGTGGCCTAGACAAGTGGAGTCATTTGTTGAAGGTTACCCCTAAATCAGAGGTAGAGTCCTGATCAGAGCCCAGCCCTCTGTCTCACAGCCCAAGAATCTTTCCCTTTCCTCCCGACTCCCATCCCTGAAACTCCCACTCTTTGGACTTTTGGAAGTCTTTCACTAACCATGAGATCAACTTAAATTCTTTTCTCAGCAACCAAGGAGAGCAATACTGTTCCTTTTGTAGCAGATAGGGAAACTGAGTCCCAGAAAGGGAAAATGACTTTCCCATGATTACTTATTAAGTTTGTGGAAGAGCTGACATTTAGACCTGATGGCCAAACTCAGGTTTCTTTCTACTACATCTCTGGATGGAGGCAGTGTTTTGCATAGGAGAGAGTCCAGGATTTGGACTTAGATGACCTGAGGTCAGATCTAGGCTTTGTCATTTAATACCTATGTGATTGGGGGGGGGCAAGTCAATAATCCTCTCTGGGCTCAGTTTCCTCATTTGCAAACTAAGGATTCTATATATGTGTTTACCCCTCCCCCATACACACAATTTAGTTTGCTCAGAAGGCCTAACCTCAGAGCCATAACTTGCAATTTTTGTGCCCAGAATAAATAGCATGAAACTGACTTTCAGGTGAGGGGAGTTGAAGAGAAGAGTGAGGCAGAGGCTCTGAAAGCATCATGAAGCAGCTGCAGAGAGGGCCACTCTGGGGATGGAGTTAGGGCCAAACCAGCTAGTTTAAGGGTACCTCTGGAGGGGCAAGTCATCATCTCATGGCTTCCTATTTCATTTATTTTTTATTTTATATCACCTACATTTCCCAATATAGGGTTTCCTGAAAGTCTTAGTGCAGGCTTAAGCTAGTAAAGCTTAAGTTGTGAAAGCTTAAACCTACGGTAAGAATTTTGGAAAACCCTCTATATACTTCCTCTCAGAAAGCTATATCATATAACAAAAAAGAAAAGTTTATCAAAACTAATCAAAATATCACAAAAGCTTGATCTTGTATGTACTGTTCTACATCCATAGCCCTCTACCTCTGCAAACCAGGGGAGGAGGTACCTATTTCTATCTCTTCTTAATGATAAAACTTAGCCATTATAATTTTACAGCATTCAGTTCTGAGTGCTTTGTTGTTCTTTCTATATACATTGTGCACATTGTTTTTCTGTTTCTGCTTACTTCACTTTTATATATAGCTTTTCATGTTCACTAATAATTTTACTGCAGCTTCGTGGCCCAACGGATAGAGCACCAGCCCTGGGGAGTCAGGAGGACCTGAGTTCAAATCCAGCCTCAGACACTTCCTAGCTGTGTGATCTGGGGCAAGTCACTTAACTATTTGCCTCAGTTTCCTCATCTGTAAAATGAGCTGGAGAAGGAAAGGCAAACCACTCTAGTATCTTTGCTAAGAAAACCCAAAATGGGGTCACGGAGGGTTGGACACTACTGAACAACAACAATTATCTTACTACCTAGGCGATAAGTGGAATTTTTTCAATGCTGCTGAAGGACTGAAAGTTTTGTCAGTGCCCTTGGACAGAGTGCATCTAGCTGTGCCTAGTTAGTGCTCTTCTGAGCTATCCTAACCTTAAGGATGGCTAGCACTCAGATGGACTATAACTGGACAGGTCTAGTACAGGATGTGGAATTCAGTCCTCAGATGAGGAGTTTGGGTTGCTGTCTAGACTGTCCCACTGAGTCAGCTCTAAACCATGCCCAGGTCACAGGTGACTTAGTCTTGCCCCTTCCTCATGGTTGCTCTGACCACAGGTGTGCCACCGACCATAATGTGGACAATACGACGGAGATTCTTCAGGAGTGGCTAGCTGCTGTGGGCAAGGACTATGCAGAAGTGGTGTGGCGACCTGAAGGCGAGCCAAGGTGCGCAGGATTGGGGATCCGGGATTCAGTTAAAATCAGTTGAATTCAACAAATACTCATGAAGCACCTGCCTTGTGTATGTGAGCACTGTGCTAGGCTAGAAATACAAAAACAAAAATGAAACTGTTGTACCTGTTCTCAAGTAGCCTACATTTTACTGGGGGATACAACTGGTAATCAGATAAGAAAAAACAAAATACTTCAGGGAGCAAGAGAGCATTCACAACTGGAAAAACCAGAAAGGGCCTATTGCCCAAGCCCCACAGTAAGCTGGTGGGTTGGGGCTGCACCTGAACTGAGACCCAAAGGAAGCTCAGGATTCGAAGAGGTAGGGGTAAGAAGGGAGTGCATTCCAGATCTGAAGAGCAAACCACCTGTGTGAAGATGCAGAGATGGAAGACGGAATAACGACTCTAAGGAAAATACCAAGTCAAGGGAATGGCTCTTGGGAGAGTTCAGCTGCAGTGTAAGCACCTGTGAAGGGAAATAATATGGAATGAATTTGGAAAGGCAAGGTGAAGCCAAGCAAAGGAGCGTAAGACAATGTTACCTGCAGTTCACAGGAAAAAGCTGAGGGCTTTTCCGTTTCCAGCCTTTTCTGGGCTGGAGGTAGCTGTAAAAAAAGCAGCTGGGCTTTAGGTTAGGTCAGCCCTAATAAAAATAGAAGTTGAAAAGTTTAACATTGGCATTCCTAGTCTTGGTTCTGGGTCTTTCCCCCACGACATCTAGCTCTAATAGTAAAAAGTATTATAATCCGTTAAGATCCCTGAGTCATTTTCCCATGAATTTTAGCTTACTTACCTCTCTCGAGTGTCCAAACTTTCTCCATTTTCCTCCTCTGAAATCGATGGTGTTGGACTTGATGACTTCTAAATGTATTTCTAGCTCTGATAGTCTTAAGTTCCTTCCTATTTATATTGCCGGGGCTTCTAGGTGGTGCAGTTGACCAAGCTCTGGGCCTGGAGTCAGGAGACACTAGCTGTGTGACCCTGGGCAAGTCACTTAACTCTGCCTCAGTTCCTCATCTGTAAAATGAACTGGAGAAAGAAATGGCAAATAACTCCAGTATCTTTGCCAAGAAAACCCCAAATGGGGTCAACAACAACCAGTTGTTAAGGAGACAGTAGTGTTGAGTGTAATCTATTTATCCCAGAAGGCAGATGGTTTAGTGTTAGTGGGCTGGATTTAAGAGTCTGGAGACCGAATGCCTTACCTAACTTTTTATCTTACCAGGCCCTCAGCGCAAAGCTTTTTCACATATTAGATACTGTTTGAGGAATGAATGATCTCTCCTCCTAGCCCCGAACCAGCATATGGAAGGGAATGACAGGCTGTAGTGAATTTATACTAAACTACAAATGTATGCTGTCGGGTAAAGTGAGTCTCTTACAAGGGAATTTGCATTTAAGAGAACTCCAAGTCTTAAACTAAAGGGATAAGAGACAACTCTCTTGGCCAAGGTCAAACAGTTGGTTAGTGGGAAAATTAGAACTCTGAACCCAGGTCTCTAGACTCCCAGGCCAGTCACCCAAAGGAGGTGGTGAGGCCCCTTCCCCTGAGGCACTGTCCTGGATTCTGATATTTGGCCCGATCTGATCTTTGGTACAGGTTGTACCCAGATGAAGAGAGTCCCAAACAGTGGACCAAGGAACGCCACCAGTTCCTCATGGAGCTGAAACAAGAAGCCCTGGACTTTGCCCGAGCTTGGGGAGCTGACTATATCCTGGTAAGAGAGTCTCATACCATCAATTATCCTGACCATTTGGCCTACAAAATCTCAGGGAGGCTACTCAATTCCACAAGGCCATATCCCTGGATCCAATCACTGTATCACTTCGCCAGATCATACCAGAAACCGCAAATCAGGCCCTGTATCTACTCTGGACCAGAGAAGAACTTGTAGGGACACTCCTTGGTTGACCCCTGCCTGGGACTGACCTGTTACTGGCCTATGATTAACTTGTCATGCTCACCTCCAGTTTGCAGACACTGACAACATCCTAACCAACAACCAAACCTTGAAGTTCCTGATTGGGGAGGGTCTGCCAGTGGTGGCCCCTATGCTGGACTCCCAGACTTATTACTCCAACTTCTGGTGTGACATCACACCACAGGTGAGGTCCTGGATGGGTAGACCCTGATATGTTTTGAGACTTAGAAACAAGCAAACCTTCTAACCTGATTTGAGTGGAGTTGGGGTATTGAGACTGGAGTAGCTTCTTCCTAGAAAGTATCTAACCCTAATGGCAAGGAGGGATGGTGTGGAGGTATGGTGACTGATTGGGGTAGGGGGCAGGGGGCAGGGGGCAGGAAGAGAAGAGCCTAGCAGTTTTCCCACAATCCTGGTCCCCTTTGCTCTGCCTCAGGGCTATTACCGACGTACACCAGATTACTTCCCTACCAAGAATCGGCAGCGTCAGGGCTGTTTCCAAGTGCCCATGGTACATTCTACCTTTCTGCTAGCCCTTTGGGGCAAGGGAGTTGACCAACTGGCTTTCTATCCCCCCCATCCCAACTATACATGGCCCTTTGATGACATTATTGTCTTTGCCTATTCTTGCCAGGCTGCAGGTGAGTGGTCTCAAGTTGGGGTGGGAATCATGGAATGTTAGATCTAGAAGAGAACCTAGAACACAGAGTGTCAGAGCTGGAAGGGGCCTAGAATGCAGAATATTAGAAATGAAAGACCTTAGAACCCAGAGTGTTAGAACTGGAAGGGGCCTTAGAACACAAAGTATTAGAGCAGACTTTAGGACACAAAAGGCTAGATCTGGAAGGGGACTTAGAACATAGAATGTAAGAACTGGAAGGGATTTTAGACTATAAAATGTTAGAACATAGATTCATAGAATGGTGGGGCCATAAAGGAGGTTGAGGTCTTTGCTGGGGGGAAGGCAGGTAAACCAGCCCAGAATGGAGTATGGGGAAGGGAGCTTCCTTCCTTTTACTGGAGAGGGTGCCATGAGGGAAGAGACCCAGCTCAAGGGTGAGCAGAGCTCAGGAAGGGAGATGCCTTTGGTGCTTTGAGATCCTTTGACTCCCTTCCCCTCCGCTTTGCCTCATTCCTCCAGGTGTCTCGGTCCACATTTGCAACCAGCATCGCTTTGGATACATGAATGTTCCAGTCAAATCACATCAGCGGCTAGAGGATGAGAAAGTCAACTTTGTCCACCTAATCTTGGAGGCCCTGGGTGAGCAAGCATTGGGCTGTGGCAGGCAGCACTTTCTCTTCCCTAGGAAGCTTCGGTGACAATGCCTTTCTTCGCCACGTATATCCATGCTTTGCCTTTCCTCTCCCTTCCCCTTTCCTAGGATTTCAGTTTTAGCCTTTTCTCAGTCTCCATATACTTTTTTTTTTTTTGGTGAGGCAATCAGAGTTAAGCGACTTGCCCAGGGTCACACAGCTAGTAAGTGTCAAGTGTCTGGTCTGAGGCTGGATTTGAACTCAGGTCCTCCTGACTCCAGGCCTGGTGCTCTACTCACTGCACCACCTAGCTGCCCCGAGTCTCCATATACCCTTGGCCTTGTTATAGGACCCAGGACTATAGGATAGCAGTTCTAGAGCTGGAAGGGGTCTCAGGGATCACTGTGCCTAAGCTCCCCATTTTACAGATAAAGAAACTGAAACCCAGAGAGGTTCAATTCCTTGTCCGTGGTAGCTAGCCCTCCACTTGTAATTGTACCACAATGCCTCAGACCTTGCAATACAGGGTCTCAGAACTCTGCTCTCCTTTCATCCCAGTACCTCCAAAGCCCTGGGCCAAGCAGCCAGTGCTGCTCGGCAGCCGAGCAAACCCCTCAGGCTGTCAGAGCTGGAAGAACTTCAGAGGTTCTCCATGCCACCCCCTCATTTTACAGTTGGGTAAAGTGAGACCCAGACAGAGGAAGTGACGCTCTGAAGGCCACATGGCTAACTTAATGGCAGAGCCAGAACCAGAACCCAAACTTACTGTTGCCCAGTCCTGAGCTCTTTCTGCAATGGAAGATAAGACAGTGGGTCCCTAACTTTCCTTTGGACTCATTCCTCCCTATGTCTCAGTTTTCCTGGGTCCCTGAAGAGGACCCCGGTTTGAGACCCTACTTTGCTGCTAATTTGTTGTGTGGCGTGAATCCAGTCACTTCCCCAGCTATAAAATAATAGGGTTAGGGGCAGCTAGGTGGCGCAGTGGGTAGAGCTCCGGTTTTGGAGTCAGGAGGACCTGAGCTCAAATCCGGCCTCAGACACTTGACGTTTACTAGCTGTGTGACCCTGGGCAAGTCACTTAACCCCAATTGCCTCACCAAAAAGAATAATAATAATAATAATAATAATAATAGGATTGGACTAGATGATCTCCAAAGTCCTTTCTAATTTTAATATACCATGGTATGGGGGTTGGGGGAGAGGGGATTAAAGAAACTGAGAGCCAGAAGGAGCTAGGCTAAATTCATGACCAGATTCTGGGAGTGGATCTTTCTATCACAGCGGATGGCCCGCCTATGCAGCCTTCAGCCCATGTGTTCCTGCCCCCGAAAAGGCCCAACAAGATGGGGTTTGATGAGGTATGTGTCCTAGGGGTTCCAGGTCAGGGAGGGAGGAACTTGGATGAGTCTCCTTCCTTGAGCCTCTATTCTGCATTCCTGAGTACATTTGTAGACAGAAGAAAATTAGATTGTAAACTCTTTGAGATTAGGGACTATCTTTTGCCTCTTTTTGTATCCCTGAACTTAACACATAGTAGGCACTTAATAAATGTTTATTGATTGATTGATATTGAGAAAGATTGAAGATGCAGGAGAGATGATGCCCACTAGTTCTATTTCCTAAGGTTTTTGTCATCAGCCTAGCCCGTCGGCCTGAACGCCGAGAACGGATGCTAAGATCCCTGTGGGAGATGGAGATTGCTGGACGGGTACTGGAAGCTGTGGATGGCAGGTGAGGAACCTGGGTCCTGAACTGGCCTGGCTGGTTTCCAGAAAAGGAGCTATAACTGACCTCTGAGTCACTGATGAAAGGGGATGAGGAATATCTGTTTCAAATTCGAGGACCCAGATGGGTGTGTGGGGAGGGTATGACTTGAAACCCAAGCCAGTCTCCTCCATATCTCCCTACAGTGCACTCAACAGCAGCACCATCAAAAGCCTGGGTGTGGACCTTCTCCCTGGCTACTATGACCCCTACTCTGGCCGCACACTCACCAAGGGAGAGGTGGGCTGCTTCCTCAGCCACTACGCCATCTGGGAGGAGGTGAGGATATAGTCCCTGGGGAAACCAGGGCAGGGAAAAGTGTTCATTTCAACTCACAGATGTTGATTGAATATACAATGTCCTTTTTTCTAGTGATAGGGAGAGTATCCCTAAGGGTTATTTCTCCACCACTGCCTTTGATCTTTTGCCACCCCTGGCCTTCTCTAGGACCTTGTCCTAGCAGCTATGTACCCCCTCCTCTCTTGCATCTTCAATCTTTCTGTCTCCCTATCTGTCTACAGATATGCCCAGGTTTCTTCAATTCTCCCAAAGCTATCCCTTGATTCTTCTACCCTATCCAATCACCATTGTATCTCCTCCCCTTCTCAGCCACTTTTCTTTTTTTCTCTTTTCTAAAAAATATTTATTTAGTTTTAGTTTTCAACATTCATTTTTATAAGGTTTTGAATTCTAAATTTTCCCCCTTCCCCAAGACATCTCTGCCACTTTTCAAAGAAGTAGTCTCATTGGATGTTTCTGTGTCCTCCCTAACTGATCTAGCCCCATCCCTTGATGTCTGGCTTCTGTCCCCATTTCTTTACTGAAACTGCTCTCTCTGAGGTCACCAACAACCGACCGATCTCCAAACTGAATGGCCTATTTTGCAGCCTCAAGCTTCTTAGCCTGTTTATAGTATTTCATATAGTTTACCATGCCCTCCGGATCCTTTCTTCTCACCCACCTTCAGAGTCACCACACTGTCTTGGTTATCCTTCTCCAATTGTTTTTTCTGTCTCCTTTAGAAAGCCTTCACTAGCTCCTTCTCCTCCCCTCATCCTGTTTCCTTCACTCAACATTCTACCCTTATTTCTCTTTGCTCTATTGAAGGCATCTCCTTTGCCAATCCAATTTGTTCCTAGCTTCAGCTATGCAGAGGACTCTCAAACCTCTATTGCCAGGACTGACCTCCCTTCTAAGCTTCAGGCCTATGTCTCCACTCGCATGCTGAATATCTCTATTTGGATGTCCTACCAGCCACTCAAAGCCAGCCTGCCTAAAACCATGCTCACTGCCTTTCCTTCTAACTCTGTTCCTACTTCTGATGTGTGGCCCCCACCATTTACCAGTCTCCAGTGTTTGTAGTCTTGCAGTTATCCTTGGCTCTCTCCTTCCCCTCACCTCTCTGATCCAGTCTGTTACAAAGTCTTGTCAACTCTGCTTCCATGTTGTTGTTGTTGTTCAGCTACTTCATTCATGTCCAACTCTTGGGGACCCCATCCGGGGTTTTCTTGGCAAAGATACTAGATTGGTTTGCCATTTCCTTCTCCAGCTCATTTTGCAGACGAGGAACTGAGGCAAACAGGGTCAAGTGACTTGCCCAGGGTCACGCAGCTAGCTGGTAAGTATCTGAGGCCAGATTTGAACTGACTTCAGGCCTGGCAGTCTATCCACTGAGCTACCTAGCTGCCCCTGATTTTCTTTGAGGGATGAATTGATTCTCTGCAAAAGATGGTCCAGGAAATGTACCCAGGTTTTAAATATTGCCAAATACTTCCACATTTTATAACAAAACTTCTAACATAAACTAGGACACAAAACAACTTACGAAACAAAACACACAAGATTATTCACTCACCCTCTTTTTGTGGAGAAGATCTGACTATCATGAATAGGGAGAGAGTCAATCTACAACCACAGATCCCCCAATAGGAAGCTCTCCCCTTGTGGACAAAGTTTTCCACTTGGGCCCTATAAAATAGGAGGGAGGTTTCTAATAAGGGTCTGGGGTGTGGAGTTCTTATTTCCTATCCCACCACTGCCACCGACTTCTCATGGGGGAAATTTAACCAATGAATAAAAAGTGGCAGTTTTCTAAGTATAGTATTTATTAATAGGGCATGCCACTTGTTAATAGAGGACAGGTCAATGGCCTGCCTCCATTTGTGCCAAAGACTGTCTCCATAACATCTGCTAAATCTGGCTCTTCCTCTCTATTCCCACTGATGCCACCATAGTACACCTAACTGTACTATTATAATAATATCTTAACAGCTCTTCCTGCCTCCCCACCCCACCCCTCCATCCAGCCTTCATATCACTTTCAAAATAAATTGTCCTAATGGAGTGATCTGGTTGTGTCTCCTTCTACTCAAGAATCTTGAGTGTTTCTCTATTCCCCACTAGGGAAAGTTCAGACTTGTCAAGCATTCCGGGCCCTCCACAATCTAGTACTAGCCATCCTACTTTCCCAGCCTTTCCTCATACTTCTCCCTCAAGCACAGAAACACTGCAGTCAAGCTGGACCACTCTCTGCCTCACAGACACATCGGAGACTTTCTCACCTCCATTCCCTTTGCTCAGGCTCTTCCTCATGCTGCAGAGTATCTTCTAGCTCTAAAGCCTGTTACCTTAAGGGCCTGTGGATGCCTTCCTTTTTTTTTTGGCAATTGGGGTTAAGTGATTTGCACAGGGTCACACAGCTAGTAAGTGATCTGAGGCCGAATTTGAACTCAGGTCCTCCTGACTTCAGGGCCAGTGCTCTATCCACTGCGCCACCTAGCTGCCCCTGATGCCTTCCTTCTTGCCAGCCTTTAAAGTCTAACTCAGATGGTGCTTCCTTCACAGTTTTCCTTGAACCCCCCCAGTGCAATCAGTAATGAACTTCCTTCCCAGACCTCTCTGAAATATGTATTTATAGTAATCCATGCTTGTTTCATGGTCTTTCTATTGTCAGTCAATCAAGTGCTCTCTATGTGCCAGGTGTGGGTACCAAGGTGAGAGAGAGAGAGAGAAAGAGAGAGAGAGAGAGAGAGGAGGGAGAAAGAGAGACAGACGGAGACAGAGAATAATTCCTGCTTTTGAGAAGCCAATATTTTATTGGAGGAATATAGGGTGTCCCAAAAGTCTTAAAACTACACTAAGACTTTGGGGATACTTTGTATCCCTGCAGTTTCACAAGGGTAGGAACCTGTCTTGCCTAAACTTTGTATCTCCTGGCACAGTGCTCTGTATACAATCAGCGCTTAAGAAATGATTGGCAGTGGGGGGTAGCACCCTTGGTATCTATGCTAATAGAAAAATGCATGGCCCTGTGCCAGGAATGGAAGACGGTACAAAAAAAGACTAAAACAGGTTAGGGGAGTTAAGAGATGGACAAACTAAATAGAATGTGCTAAATTTATGAGAAGTAGAAATATAGTGCTTTTAGATTTCAGAGAAGGAAGAGATTGTGTCCTATCTGGGAGGATCAGGGAAGGCTTCTTGTAGGAGGTGGCATTTGAATTAATCTATTGGAGTTCTTGAGTAGGGGAGCCATGGGACCATAAAGGCAATGCTTTCAGGGGAGTGAAGCTAGAGGTGATGGGTGTGCAGGTTAAGTTGGGGTATCCTTGGGCTCTGAAGGTGGACACCCTCCTTTCCTGTGCCTACAGATGGTCACCCGGGGTCTGGAACAGGTCGTGGTGTTTGAGGATGATGTGCGCTTTGAAGCCAGCTTCAGGCAGCGGCTGGAGCGGCTGATGGAGGAGGTGTCTCAGGAGCAGCTGCAGTGGGACCTGATGTGAATTATGGGGCCAGGGGCGAGCTGAGGTGGGGAAGGGCAGCATTCTTAGGACATGTGCTGGCAGAAAACTGTGTGGGCTGAGTTGGAACAGGTCCCTTTAACTAGCCAGGCCCCTTCCTTTCCAGGCAGCCCTCTGAGCTGGTGCTGGATAGAGCTGGGAAGATTTAGCTAGTGTGGGGAGCTGATGGCAGGGCGGGGGAACTTTCTGTGATGCTCTGGGTTTCTCTCCCACCCCTCTAGTTACCTAGGGCGCAAGCAAGTTACCTGGGAGGAGGAGCCAGCTGTGGAAGGGGTGCGCCACCTCGTGGTAGCCAACTACTCCTACTGGACTCTAGCCTACACTCTGTCCCTGAGCGGGGCTCGAAAGCTGGTGGAAGCCCAGCCTCTGGGCAGGATGCTGCCTGTGGATGAATTCCTGCCCATCATGTATGACCGGCACCCCAAGTGAGGCTCAGGGTCAGGGGCTGGGGTGGAGATGAAGCTCACAGCCTTTTCCCTCGGGTTCTACAAGTTCTAGTCTGTTGGCATTTCCCACCTGGGCCCCCCTCCAGGGGCCTACTGCCTCACATGGGGCTTCCATGCCCTCTTCTCTGCAGTGAAGACTACAAGAAGCACTTCTCCCGCCGGGACCTGAGAGCCTTTGCTGTGAGGCCCCTGCTCGCTTTTCCCACCCACTATGCAGGGGATGCTCAGTGGCTGAGCGACACAGAGACATCTACCATCTGGGATAACGATGCTCAGGCCACCGGTTGGAGTGGTTCTCGAAAGACCCTAAGGGACCCGAGGTTGGACAGGGTGGGCAGCAGTGGGCCCAGTTTCCATTCCACTTCTCATGATGAGCTCTAGTGTTGAAGGGTAAGCAAGCACTGGGAAGAGGGAGGAAGGGAAAAATGGAGGGAGGGAGGAGGCCCCGGGGACACTTCATCTTCTAGCACTCTCCTGTCTTCTAGGGCATCAAGGTTTTATATGTGACTTTTTACTTGTCTTTGTTTCACCTTCCTCTGTCTCTATTTCTGTTTCTATGTCTGTCTCTGATTCTTTATTTCTCTCTTTTTTTTTCTTTTGGTTTCTCCTCCCTCTCTCTTTCCCATTTCTCAGGGTTTGTCTGTGGATCAACGAATAAACCTCAGCAAGCAGAGGAGAAACAAGGATCTCCAGCCAGGAGCCAGGAGTAGCCAGAAGAAACCCTTCTAGCTTCCCTAGGTCCAGTGGAGAGATCGCTGCCGCTCATTTTGGTGTTTCCTTATCTGAGTCAAAAACAGGGCCATTACCACTGTGATTTCCCCACTCCTCTTCCCCAAAACAACAACACACCACTCCCCCTCTCCACAAAGGTGCTAAGGCAAGGGGCTACTAGCCACCTGACAGCTCAGTTTTGTAGGCCCTAAGATTCTCTCTCTCAAGGTCATAGACACACCACTTTAGTCTCAAATGGTCTGGGATCTGTTCAATAGTGTATATGGAAGGAGGGAGGAGACCCTAGAATTTTTGCCTGACCTGCTTAAACCTAGAGCTGTTCCCTTTATCTCTCTCACCCTGTCTCCATCCTGAATCCCTCTTTCTCTGAAGCCAGGACTAAGGAAAGGAACAGGATTTGGAAATCTCCCAAGCTGAAGAGGAGGAGACAGAAAAAAAACAAGAACTAGGAATCTGAGGTTGGCAACTGAGGTCCCCACTACCACTAGGCACCAGGATGAAACACTCACTGATCCTATCACCCCTGATCAGGAGGTTATCAGCAGTAACAAGACTGAATGACCTCTGTAGCTATCTGTACCCAAAGCCTGGGGAACCCTCTCCACCCCCTTTCTTTAGCTCCTTCTGGAGGCTGTTGCTGACGTAGGATGAATTAGGTGCCTAAGGTGCCAGTCCCAGGAAGACAGAGAAGGATCCAGTCCAAACCTGATGTCTTGTAATAAATAAATATTTGGTTTGCACTTTAAACTTTGCCTCTACCTCATCACACGTGTTTCTGATCTTTGATTCTAAAGGAAGAGTAATAGTGATTAACTCCATTTAACAGATGAGGAAATCAAGATACAGTGAAGTCATGTTACCCAGAGAGTTGATAGCAAAGCTAGAACTAGAACCCAGATATCCTAATCCTCTGTTCTCGGCCCTTTCTATATATCAAGCTATAGCTACTTGTGCTATGTATGGCCCAAGATAAGCCAGTCTTCGTCCTTGGGAAAGTTAGAAACTAAAAGCTGTGTTTGGATTTCATTTTACCAGCCCAGAAACTCTCTGGCCAGCAGCCCTCCCAGCAAACAGTCGCTTTTTAAAAGTTGGGAAAGTGTCATTTGCACATTTGGCTGGAGAGAGGAGGCAAGGGGTGGTCTCTGGCACCATCTAATGGTGTTGGACATATACAACACTTTTGGCCTCTGAAAGGCAAGTGAGACTTTTGGGATGCTGCTGAAGCATGAAGTCACCTTAGAAGCCACCATTCCAAAGCCCTTGTTTTACAGAGGGAGGAAACTGAGACCCAGAGAAAGGAAGAGAAAGCAAGACATTTGCTCAATGTCAGTAGCATAGTAGAACATGGTAACTTTTTTTTTTCTGCTAATCTAGAAATAGGCCACTCCAGCCTGAGCTTCAGGTCCTCTCTGATTATCGGTTGTGTGACTAATTAAGGTGTGTGTGTGTGGGAGAGCTCTCCTGTCCTGATGTATCCAGCTCTGTGGAGAAAAGACTCAAATGCCTGGAGAAAAAGAGGAGCAGAGCCCATATCCAGCATCGAGACCATGGTTATCTGCCAAAAAGAGCTCCCTCAGAGATGAATGGGGAGAGAAAGCTGTGGTGTGTGACTCCTTCCATCACCTGAGAGACTTAAATTCAGTCACTTGCAGTGCGAGAGACCTCCTATTCTGTAGTAGGTCAGATATTGCTCTGAAATTTAGGGGCCTGGGAGGGGGCAGGCTGAGTTAGTGACAGGCCAGGTCCTGAGTGAGAGAGACTCCCTTATTCCAGGAACAGTATCTGATTCTCACTGGACTCTGTATAGTAGCTGCCTGTGGCATCACACATACCCAACCTCTAGAGCTCTTTGCTGTCTACCTTATCTACTGCATTGCTCCTAGGGTCGAAACCTTTGGTGGGGAGCTCTGAGACACAATTCTGCCTTCTGAAAGGGTAACTAAGGTCACACCACTATAGTTAAGGAAACAAAACCTGCTGCTACCCTGTGACAATGTTCAATATTGCAGCCTAGGGTTAGGTAAGAGTCATATTCCCTTTAAAAATTATATATACACATACATACATACATATACATATATACATATATGTGTGTACATATATGTACATATATATATATATAAACTCAAATACCAGAAGAGAGCATTTCTATATACATATCAGAAGACAAAAAATGGATCTTAATAAAACTGTAAATCTACATTTGGTACCATTTTATTTTTTTAAGTATATAATAATTCCACGTGTTACTTTCAAAACAATCTTGCTTACCTGTGCTTCCTCTTGAACTTCCTTCTATGCACTTGAAAAATGTTTCAATGGCCCTCTTTTTTTTTGCATCACTATTAACTCACCCCCACCCAAATTAAAACAGAGAGAAAAAAACAACTTGTAACAAGCAAGCATAGTTAAGCAACACCAAGTAAACAATGGCCAAAAATGTACGTCACATTCTGTGCAGTGAGTCCATCACCTCTCTGTCAAGTAGGTAAACTCCATGATTGGTTCTCATGATGGTTGGTAATTGTGTTGCTAAGAGTTTGTTGGGTTTTTTTAAAAATCTTTCAAAGTTATTTCTCTTTACGATTTTATTGTCCTTTACCATAAAGTAAATTAGAAGGGCATAGAAGAAATCACCTGTGAGATCTATAAGAAGGGGAAGAGTTCAAGGCCAAATCTGAGATAGAGAGGTTTGTAAGAGGTAAAAGAAACAATTTTGATTACAAAAAATTAAAGAGCTTTAATTTTAACAATTGTAATTTAACAATTATTTTTGTTTAACAAAAATGAGAAGAGAACCAGAAATTGGAGGAAAATATTTGCAGCAAGTTTCTCTGATAAAAGTCTCATTTCTAGGATTTATAGGGAGCTGTCAAATTTATAAGAATAAGAATCATTCCCCAATTGATAAATGGTCAAGGGATGTGAATAGGCAGTTTTCAGAGGAAGAAATAAAGGCTATTTATTAATAGCCATATAAAATACTCTAAATCACTAATAAGTAGAGAAGTACAAATTAAAACAACTCTGAGGTATCACTTCACACCAATATTAGCTAAGGTGGCAGTAAAGGAAAATGATGCATCCTGGAGGAGATATGAAAAACCTGTACTTTAATGGAGCTATGAACTAGTTTAACCATTCTGGAAAATAATTTGAAACTATGCCCAAAAAGCTATTAAACTGTGCATACACTTTAATCCAGGATTACTGCTACTAAGGTTAATTCCCCCCTCCTCCACCCTTCTTACCACCCCCTCAAAAAAAGAGAAAGACTCATGTATAAAAACATAGCAGCTCTTTTTGTGGTAGCAAAGAATTGGAACCTGAGAGGAAGCACATCATTTGGGGAATGGCTGAACAAGTTGTTGTACGTGAATGTGTTTAGAATACAATTGTGCTATAAGAAATGATGAAGGGGATGGTTTCAGAAAAACCTGGGAAGACTCGTATTAACTGATACGAAGTAAAGTAAACAGAACCAGGAGAACAATTTATACAAAAAATAATATTATAAAGATAATCAACTTTGAAAGACTTAGGAACTCTGATCAATACATTGCCCAAACATGATTCCAAGGGGCTCATGATGAGACATGCTCTCTACCTCCAGATAGAGAACTGATGGACTCAGAGTGCAGATTGAAGGATATTTTCTTTTCTTTCTTTCTTTTTCTTCCTTTATGGATATGACTAATGTGGAAATTTGTTTTGCATAACTATACACATTTGAAATGGGGTTTTCTTTCTTTCTCAAGGAGTAGCAGAAGGGGAAGAGGGAGGGAAAGAATTTGGAACCAAAAATAAAATTGAGTTTAAAAAAGAGAGGAAAAAAATCTTTGTTATAAGAGATGGCTCCCAGGGAAGGGAAGAGAGGGATACAGGGAGAAATTTAAGCAATGCAATAACAAAAGATCAATAAAAATTTATTTAAAAAATAATGTTCTTATATACATGTTTTCCTAGTTCTGCTCAATTTACTTGCTGTATAAATTCACTGCATCAGTTCGTACAACCCTGGATTATCTGAAATTGCCTTTCTTTTTTTATCTTTAAATTTTTAAAATGTATTTTATTTATTTTGTTAAATGTTTGTTAAATATTACATTTCAAAAATGTAAATAAATTACATTTTAAAAAATTTAACATTTTTTAAAAATTTTGAGTCCAAATTCTCTCTCTCTCTCACCCCTCTCCCAAACTTTAAGAAGGCAAGAAATATGATATAGATTATACATGTGAAATCATGCTAAATATATTTCTGTATTAGCCATGTTACAAAATGAAACACACAAAAACAAGAAAAATAAAGAAAGTTTAAAAAGTGTGCTTCAATTTGCATCCAGAGTTCACCAGTTCTCTCTAGAGGTGGATAGCATTTTTCATCATGGGTCTTTTGGAATTATCTTGGATCATTGTCTTGAACAGAGTAGCCAAGTCTTTCACAGTTGATCGCTGTTAAAATATTGCTGTTACAGGATGCAATGTTCTCCTGGTTCTGCTCACTTCATTTTGCATCAGTTCACATAAGATTTCCCAAGTCTGAAATTGCCTTTCATCATTTCTAATGGAGCATTCGCATACCACAGTTTGTTTAGCCATTCTCCCATTGATGGGCACCCTCTACTAGTTCTTTGCTTTTCTTTTTTACTCCTTGAATCCCTTTTCAGGACCAGGGAGTCTTTTTGTTTTACTTGAAGCTATTCCCTTTCGGTTATTATTCTCCCCCTTAACCACCTCTCCTCATCTCTCCTTGTTTGCCTGCTGATTTTGATGTATTCCTATACCAAACTGTATGTGTGTTTGTGTTCAACCCTTTTTTGTCTGTTTCAGAGGAGTGAGCTCCATCTGATCTCTGCTTCTCCTGCCCTACCCTTCCTTCATGTTTGTATATTCTTCTCACACACCTCAATTATAAGAAATAGCAAGTTTCACCCCATTCTTTTCCTTTTCACACTAGTGTATTTCTTTCCCCCTCCTTTCTCTTAAGAATTCAGAATAAACCAATCCACCCCAGGTCTTTAATTTTTCTTCTTTAATTCCTTCAATCTTCCTCAAAGATATTACAGTTCTAAAGGAACATTTGTTTCTTTTCCTCCATTAGAATATTAGCACATCGTCATAGACCCTTTCCAACAGCTCAAATGAATTCATTTATTTAGTTTCTCTTGACTTGTGTTTGTATTTCAAAGTTCCTACCCCAAGCTCTTGGGTTTTTTTTTTTTTCATCAAAAACATTGGAAAGTCCTGCATTTAATTCAAGCCAACAAATTTATTAAGCCTGTACTATATACCAAGCATAGTGTTAATCACTGGTGACACAAAGAGAGGCAAAATAGTTCCTACTTTACAGGAGCTCACAGCCTAATAGGGAGACAACAGTCAAACAATTAAGTAGAAAGAAGAGATATACAGGATACATTGAAGATAATCTCAAAGGGAAAGCATAAGCATTAATGGGAATCAGGAGAAGTTCTTGTGGAAGGCAGGATTTTACCTGAGACTTGAAGAAAGCCAGCAACCAGACATGAGGAGAAAGAGAATTCCAGGCGTAGGACACAGCCAGTGAAAATGTCCAGAACTGGGAAATGGAGTGGTATGGACAATAGCAGAATCTAGTATCACTGGATTGTAGATTATGTAGAAAGGAGTAGGGTAAGAAAGGATCAGATGGTAAAGGACCTTAAAAGCCAAACAGAAGGTTTAAAATTTGATCCTGAAGGTAATAGCTGCTTTATTGAACTACA